GTGGAAACACCCACTGCTAACGTGAAATATTCCGCATTCCAGGCCCGAGAGGTACGCTTGGAAATGTTCAGAGAGGAAAGAGTGTTTATTCACTGGGAGAGAGGTGTAGGTCCAGCTATTTACTCAAGTCCATGTGTGCTTGCTGGAAGACAGCTTTGATCTTTGCAGCTCAAATAGCAGATGAACGGCAATGAAGGGAAGAAAAATATTGGTGTGAAGTTCCCCCAGTAAATACCTGTAACCAGGCTCTCACAGCTTTTTCAAGTGCCTTACTGCTTACGGCCCAACTGGCCCTTGCACTCTTGCCTGCTCTCTTCCTACCTTCTTCCCTTTGCTCCCCCTGGGTTCCATGTCTTTTGGAGAAAGCACAACCTGAACCCTAGGACATGTATGCCTATCTGCTTGGGTGCAACACGGACCAGCCTTTGGTCAGATAGAGTGAGACTCGTCCATCTGAGCAACACGCAGCATATGGTGCCATCCACCCAGCTCTCCTGAGCAAGAGAACTTGAGCAGATGGGGAGGAAATGCACTCCCATCAGCAAGAGCATTCATCACCCAGCGTGCTGCTAAATACAGTGCTTGCTGCAGTTTAAACATCTGCCCATCTGTCTTTAGAAATGGACTCACTCTAGATCAATTACAAGATCAGAGGACATCTTCAAAGGATGCAGAACGTGACAACCCTCTGGCTGGTGCCAGCTCTCCGTGGTCTAGGACCCAATGTGCAGACAAATAACTGCCTAATGCCCTGATGGAGTCACCATGCCTTTGAAGCTCATGCCATGTTGGGGTTACAGCCTGCATGGAGCACTGCCTGAGCACAGCCAAGTCCAAGGGGGATCAACATGCTTTGTAAGAGAAGAATGGTATTGGCTTGTCACCACTTTGCCCCCAAACAGCCCAGAAACGTGCTGAGCAGCACAGCTCAGCTGCTGCTGAGGGGCTGCTTACTCAGATCAGCTATCACAGTACTTGGTCTGGCTGCAGAGGACTTGGAGCCACTGAAAACAGATGGCAGCTTCAGCTCACAGAACTAAAGTCACCCATGTTGTACCACTGGAAATATATTTGGGACCCTTTAATCCCAAGAGAAATCCTCAGCTCCTATCTGATCATTCCCGTTTCCAGAGATTTTCTTCCTTAGGAACAGGCTTGCTAGAGAGCACAAGACAGGCACTGCCACGCAGAAACACAGAGCTCCACACAGCACACGGAGGAACTTCCAGAACAAAACAGACCTTTTGGGGCTCTTTTTTCTTTTTAGCTTTAAAGAAAAGTTGACTCAGCAAATATTTCTCCTGCTCGCGTTTCAACCACATGCTCCAGCCGAAGCCAGCACACATCTGGCACACTGCAGTGTCATTGTAGAGATCACAGCTTCCCCGAGGAACGGAAATGGAGGAACAGGGACCAGCAGCCCAGGCACTGTGCACTCCTGGAGCACATACGTGGCAAAGGAAGATCACAGAGAGGAGTCACGTGAGTCACGGACAACCCACACTTCACCAGCCCTTGCTCCAAACAGCATCCATAGGCAAAGGGAGATGCTGCGCTGCAACCCACAAACCTACTGCTAGTCCGTAAAACCTCGACACCGAAGTGCACTTGTGGGCCACGCTGCTGGCATCAGAGGTTTTTCACGGTGCCCATGAGCTGGATGGCAGCACATCCCTCCCGGTGCTATGGGACGTGGTCCTGCTGAGCAAGAGAAATGAGCGGGGGAGAAAGTGCTTGGGGCAGCACAGACATGGCAGGAGCTGCAGAAGGGAGCACACAGGCAGGACCGGCAGTGGATGGCCCTCACAGGCAGGCTGGTAGCAGCACACTGTCAGGTCGGAGAATGCTGTAGCAGATCCACAGGGCTCCAAGCGAGAGGTAAATCGAAGCATGCACTCCCCCTCCACAAACACTCTTCCCAGAAGGCTGCCAAGGCAATCAGCAGTTATGGTGCTCATCTAAATAAGTGCTGCTTTCCGTGCTAAATCAGTTGTAAACTGGACATTTCTTGCAGCCTAGCAGCTCACCACAGCTCCAGACACACTAAGAGCAGCAGCGTTACAAATACCTGCCATAGAATAGCTCAGGAAGGGACTTCAAAGGTCATCTAATCCACCCCCCCTGCGATAAGCAGGGACATCTTCAACTAGATCAGATTGCTCAGAACCGAATCCAGCCTGGCCTTGAACGCCTCCAGGGATGGTGCATCCACCACCTCTCTGGGCAACCTGTGCCAGTGTTTTACCACCCACATTGTAAAAACCTTCTTCCTCACGTCTAGCCTGAATCTCCCCTCTTAGTTTAAAACCATCACCCCCTGCACTATCACAACTGGCCCTGCTAAATGTCTCTCCCTATCTTTCTCATAGGCCCCTTTTAAGTACTGAAAGCCTGCAGTAAGGTCTCCCTGGAGAGCTTTCCTTAGCGGCAGCGTCCTCCCTGGTTACTCTTCATTTCTCAGCAGAAACTGCAAAGCAAACTGTGCAGCTGTGCACAGGGACACAGAAGGGACCACAAGCAGGTACTGGCAATGTGCAGGGCTCCGTCTGCAGGGTTTCCAACCAACAGGGTGAGAAACACGGGGACGGGGCAGGGGGCTGCTATGGGAGTCTTCAAAGCCAGGCTGGAAAGCCCAGGCTCCTCAGGCAGGGAAAATGGAGGCCAGCAGGGAGAAACACCATAGAGCACTTCAAGGGAAGGCGGGTTTGGGGCTTACGGCTGGAGTTAAATGCCATGAAAAGCAACAGCCATATCCATCAACTGGGTACCCACATGTGCCAGCAACAAGGAGCTGGGGACAAGCAGGGCAGCCGGGTGGCTCCCTACATGGAGGAGGGGGGTGGCTCCTCCGGATGCGCTCAGCAAGGGACAAAACCCCTCGGCGGCTGGGACCCGCTGGTTTATCTCGGCGCTCTGACCTGCTCATGGGGAAAACCCACCCGCTGCAGCGCACAACCGGCCCTCCTGGGCCAGCCCCCACGGCCCGCGGCCGAGCCCAGCCAGGGGGCTCCCGGAGCCGCCTCCCCGGGGCTCCGCCAGCTCCCGTTCGCCGTCTCGCAGACAGCCGATGTCTGGCGCATTTGCATCCAGCTCCTCCGAGCACCCCGGGCGGGCAGGGCGAGCCGGCGCACGCCGGGCAGGGAAGGAGGACCCGGGGCGAGGCGCTCCGGAGGCTCCCAGCGCGGCGGGGCCGCCCTCCCCCTCGGGGGTCGCAGCGGCGGGGCCCGCACCGCGCCTGCCCCGCACAGCCGGGATCACGGAGCAACCTCACGGGACGCCCCAGCATCACCGGCAGCACGGGAACGCGGAGGGCGGGGAAGCAGGGGACCGGACCACCGGGGGTATCGCGGCGGTCGCGGAGCCTCACAGCGGGCCCGTTGTTGAGAGGGGGGGGGCGGGCATCAGGACCCGCATCCTCACGTCGGGGGACGCTGCGAGCCCGGCCCGCACTCACCCAGCAGCAGCAGCGCCCGCACCGCCGCCATCCTCCGCACCGCTCCCCGCAGCGCCGGTCAGTGCGCGCCCCGGCCCGTGGCCATGCCGCCGCCGCCGCCGCCCTGCCTGCCGCCACCGGGGGGGGCTTCCGGGGGTGGGGCGGGCACCGGAAGCCGGGCGGGGCCCCTCGGTCGAGCGCCCGCCTCGAGCGGCGGGCAGGGATGGGAGGGTTGCGCTGGGAGCCCCGCGGTGACCGGGGTGGGACCCGCGCTCGCGGAGCACCGAATGCTGCTGCCCGCAGCCAGTCCCAAACGGGGTGTCCAGAGCAGCGAGGGGGCAACAGAGCTCACGCCGAGGGGCTCCTCGCAGCCGGGCTGCCCCTCAAACCGGTGGTTGAAACGCCCCGGTCTCTTCAGAGCCCTGGGGAAGCGCAGGGACACCGGGAGGCAGGAGCTCTGCGCCCTGCTGACGGCAGAAGGCTGGACGCACAGTCCCAACTGCATCGCGTGCCCCGCGCTGCTCCTCCACACCACCCGAAGCCGGGTTGCGGCAGTGTGACTGGCCTGGCTACAGGCTGGAGGCCTCCCTGCCCTGCCAAATGCCTCCCATGCAGCCTGCAGCAGCCCGGGGCCACTGGCTCCAGCAGTGGCAGCTCCAAACAGCAGCTTTCCAGCCGGTTTGCTGAGCCTCCAAAACAGTGGCTGCTTTTGGTGCTGCGTGGAAGACCGACCATCACGCACCCTGCAGCATCCCTAGAAGTGCTGCTGGACCCAGCACAAAGGATGCTGAAGCCTTTGCTCAGCACAGCCCATGGCACAGGATCAAAGCACAGTGTGGCTGTGCCAGTCAGGAGCCAATTCCCACCCCCAGCAAGACCTGGGGCACCACAAAGTAGCCACAGACCAGACCCCTCTCATAGAGAAGCCACCGCTTCCTGTCACCGAAAGCTGTTCTGGTTGTGGTTGGGGACTGAGCAGCCTCAGAGGATGTGGTAGCCTATTCAGCGAGCTCTAGAAAGTGAGTTTTACTTCCACCTTTACTTTGAGCAGCAGCAGGACATGAGGCATAGAGCACACCTAGAGCAGAAGGAAACTCTGGCAACTGGTCAGGAGCAGCCGTAAGTCCCTGCACACTGAGCCAGTTCAGCACACCCATGAAGAAGTGCACCAGTTCCTGCAGCCAACCAGCACGATGTGCAGACACACTGGAATTCTCAGCCCCGAGACTGTGTGCCCATGTGCAATACAAAGGAGCCAACTCTTTTGCAGAGGGGGAAAACGAGGATAGAGCAGACCCCATCCAACAGAAAACCACCTTACCTGCAGCAGAGTGTGGCCTCAGTTGGTTGTAGCAGCCATGAAAGCAACCTGTGCATCAACACAGCGGCTGTGCCAGGCTGAACATGAGACCATAACCAGGGCAAACATCAGAGCCACAGCTAATTAGCTGGCTTCTAATTAGCCACAGCTTTGCAGCCTGGAGCATCTTGAGGAGGGAGAGAGCAAAGCTCTTTCCAAGCCAACCCGGGCAGCCCCCACCCGCACCATCAGTGACCTGCAACTGCAGTGGTTTGAGCTGGGTTTATTTACTGTTGGCACTGCCAGCTTCCCCCAGGAGAGCACGACAGTGTTCGTGGATGTGAAACTTGCTGATCAATGCACAACACGACACATAACACACGGTGGTGCCGCTGCTGCTGCTGCTGCCAGAACCCGTCCCTCTCAGCTCGCAGCAGGCCCGCAGAACAGCACCCACATCTGATGGACAAAGGCTGCCAGCACCCCAGTCCTGGCTGCGGGATGGTGAGTGACAGCCAGGGAGGCACCCAACAGCACACAGAGAGCCATCCCAGCAGGAAACATTCAGGATCCACATCTCGCTTGTGGCAAGTCTTTTCCCCCTTTAAACCCCACAGTCCCTGAGCAGCATTTCAGTGGCTCTGTCCAGGACAGGCAGCCATTCTCACAGGAAGCAGGCCAGAGCCCAGACAGAGCCCACACCTCATACATTCATTTGCCTTCTAGACACCACCAGCTTGTGACTTTGTCAAGCACAAGCCCCACTGGCGTGCCTGGCACAGCTCTGCAAGCACAGCTCAGAGCTGAGAGAAGCCCAGGTCAGGCTAGCGCATTGCACAAGCCCACACGGTTACTGCCTCACGTGAGCCCTCACCACACACTTCCCACCAGGAGCCTGCTGCAGAAGCTCTCCCTGGTGCCAGCTCCAGCCTCAGCTGGCCCCTGTGGGGCAGAAGTGCAGACCAGGCAAGATTTCCCCTGGCTGGGCCCTTGCAGGGCAGAGTACAAACCCAGCCCACAGTCTGTCCTTTCGTGGGTGAATGGTGGGTCAGGATGTGCATTCGCCTCCTTTGGATCAGAACTGCCATCTACACCAGGTCCTAGTTGCAGGACGGTTTGCAGTCACAGATGGGACTCACTCTGCTCGGCAGATGAACCAGATCTCGTTGCGGCGCTGGGGGATGCTGGGGTTTTCATAAGCAGCCACGATGTAGGTTTCCTGGAGCACAGCGTCTGTGGAGCCCAGGAGCTCCCAGAAAAGGCTGATCTCTCGCAGAATCGTCTCCTCAGTGGTCATCCCATAGAAAACCCTGCAGCAAAGGGAGTGGCATAAGCAACAGACCTAGCACATTCCCCCTTCCCTCAGTCAGGGCACCCCATCCCTCTGCCCAAGGAACCACAGCAACCCCGCAGGGAGTTCATACACCTCTGCTGAGCTGAGAAAGCACCTCTGTTGCGGGGTCACCTGGTTATAACCCGGAGTGGTGCCCTCTCGGTGATGTGGATTTCAGGGTCCATGGGAACAGGGGGGTTTTGCTGGAACTCTCCCGGGATATAATAGGCAGTTACAACCTCACGCTCCAACTCGGTCCCTTCCTTGGTCAGGTGGATTTCGTTGAGCACTGGGACTGTCATGCCCAGATAGCAGCCTGGAAGGAGGCAGGAAGGCAGCGGGCACAGTGAGATGGCTGTGTCAATGGCAGCAGCCCTCCTTTGTGCAGCCTGCCAGTCCCCTCCAGCCGCTGCCTACACACACCTACAGAGTTCTCCTTGCAGATGTAGCGCATGAGCTTCATGAAGCTCATGGAGATGCTCTGCTCATACAAGGGCTCCCCCTTGGTGACACAGGCCCACTTCCCAGCTGGGTACCGCCGCTCCTCGTAGGCTGCTTCCTCGCACTGAAACAGGCCACAGACAAGCCAAGTCAGAGTTAAGTGCACTGACAACACTGCAGCACGTGGGAGCAAGAACCAACACTGACAGGCAGGAAGTGGGAAGACGGGACCCTGCCAAAATGAGTCCCCTGCTAGGCAGTGATTGGCAGGGGAGGCAGGAGAAAGTGAGGGGAACCGGCACTACACACACCTCAGACAAGGACACTTCACAGCACGGGGCAGAAGTCAGTGAAAGGAAAAGCACAGACAGGGGGCAGGATGCAGGGAGGCTTGGAGGCTCCTGGCATGCACAAGGAACGAAGCACATCTTCAGCAAGGGGCACAGGACTTTCCGCTCCTCTCCAGTCACTGTCCTGCCTACTCACAAGGATTTTCCTGAGCCCAGGCACTCAAAGGCCTCCAGTGGGGTTGACATTATCCTCAGGTACAGCGCTGTTTTCCTGGAGCATGGTGTGGGCAGAGGACAAGAAGCATAAAGCTTCCTGCCCAGTAGCATGGAAAGCCTGGCAGAAGAGCTCTAGCACCCAGAAGAACTGTGAAGGTTGGAACAAAACTCGTCTCAGATCCTCCTCCCACACCAAGAAGCGACAGGAGAAAGAGGCATGAATCCAGCTGGTGCAGAGGGGACAGCTTTGTGCATTCTCAGCAGAGAATCTCTCCAACCAGCAGAGACACCCAGTCTTCGGGATGAATCCAACACAGAAGCAGGGCAGGGGGAGTGGGGAAAATTGCATCTGGATCTGCTATAGTTCAGCTCATGCCATGGTTATAACCACAGAACTGTATAAAGAGGGGCTGGGAAGGTGTAGTCAGCACCCATCTTCCTGCTCTCAGCTTGTTCTTCAGCCAGATTAAAGTGGTCACGAGGCAACCTTCTTCCACAGGGCTCCTGTCCAAACCTCTGTGCTCCACAGCTGTGCAGGGAGGGACCAAGCCAGGAAGCTGTGACCGTCCGCAGCCTCCCTCTGCTTCCACCCGAAGCAGGTCTCTGCTCAGAAAGCCAAACCAGAGGCATAAGGAAGGCACCTGGGCTGCTCATGTGCATCAGGGGTGCCAAGAATAGTGCCAGACTACTGCAGGCAAGCCAGTCTTCACCCCATAGATGGGGCCATGCCTGTTATTGTCTCACCAACCAAAGCAGAGCAAGAGCATTTCCAAAGCAAGGAAACCAGCAGTCACTTCTAGACTCTTTGTGACTCTCACCTGCCACACCATCTGCGAATAAACCCATCAGCCCAGCAAGGCAGTCCAGTCCTTCCACGGACTGATCCTTACATTGACCACCACCACTCCACAAGATGAGACTTAACCAAGAGAAAGATGCTTCACACAGACCAGTGGCAATGGGTCCCTGCAATGTGAGCTGGGGAATTTGGGCGAGTACTGACAGAGCAAGGCTCTGCAGGTGCCTCCAGAAGGCCGAGGGCTTGTGGCACTGAAGGCTGAGGGAGGAGCAACCAAGTAAAACTGACCTGCCTGAGCCTGGGGAACACGTCCTTAAGCTCCCCAACTCCAGAGTCTCCTCAGCACTAATGCCTGGAAGTGGCTTCCATCTCCTCACCCAGCCCCACAGTCAAACTCCAAGAACCTTCCTCACGCACAGAGAGGATGTCACCATCAATGGAAGATCTTCAGGCCCCACAGTTGTGGGGTAAAGGTAGAGAAGAGCTCAGACCAAGTCCCTGAGACCCAGACGCCAGAGGAAGAGGGAGTGTGGTGGAGCCCCAGCTCAGAGCTGTACAACCCACATGCTCAGGCGTGTTTTATAGGCAGGAGTGCTGGACCTCAGCCCAGAAGAAACTGGTTAAGCTCTCCTCGTGTACGGGACAGTTGACAAATGTCTTCTTGGTAGCTAGCCCAACCAAGCCTGCAGAGACACGTGAACCAGTCTGACAAGTGCTTCTTCACAGCTATTGCGCAAGGCTCAGAAACACCCTTTTGTGTGAGGGATAACAGGAGCTGTGCAACGTAGCCAGCAAGAACAGGAGGTCTTCAAGCAGAAGCTACCGTGCTCGGCTTGGCAGCTGAGGCAAACACCAGCACATGCTCAGGTCTGACAGCTCCTCACAGGAGCACCCTCTAGCTAAACAGGTAGCCAGGTAACTAGCACAAAGAGACACCCAGCAGGGCTCAGAGCTATGCAACGAGGTGTTTTGAACAAGGCAGGGCGCAGACTCCAAACTGCAAATTCACTGTCTTGCATGTGTCCACCTCAGCAGAGAATAAACGAGGAGAAAATGCGAGAGCAGCAAGACTAGTCCGATTCTAAAGTAAAGGCTGGAAAGTTCATAGAGCCACAGACTGCTTTGGGTTGGAGGAGACCTTAAAGCTCATCCAGTTCCAAGCCCCTGCCGTGGGCAGGGACACCTTCCGCTAGAGCAGGTTGCTCCAAGCCCCGTCCAACCTGGCCTTGGGCACTTCCAGCTCCCGCTGCTGCCCAGGCTGGCGGCAGCACCGGCACCGGCCTCCCAGCGGGCCGGGCCCGGCTGCGGGCAGGCTCGGGCCTCACCTCCTCCCGCCGCGGCAGGGTAACGTAGGGCACGGGCTCGCGAGCCTGGCCGTGCCGGGTCATCTGCACGATCGGCCCCGCCATGTCTGCAAGGCAAAGCACAGAGGGGCCGCGGCTCGCCCGGGCTGGAGAGCACGGGGACAGCCCCGCGGCGCACCGCGCCAGGCGCGGGACGTGCCGCCGGCCCCGAGGCCGCTCTCACCCGCGGCAGGGCCCCCGCTCACCTCGGGGCAGGGTCACTCGGTGCGTGCTGGCTACGGCCTCCCAGTGCGCGAACAGCCGCTCCCGCTCCTCCTCCTCCTCCTCTTCCTCCTCGTCGTCCCCGTCCCCACCGCCGGCCTCCTCACCCAGCCCCTCCAGGTCCTCCAGCGTGATGCGCGCCATCACCCCCCCACCCTTCCCGCGCCCGCCAGCACCCCGCCCCCGGCCTGCGTCACAGCTGTCGTCACGCAGACGCCCCTCCCCTCCCGCCCTGCCGCTGTTCTGCCGGCAGAGGGCACCCTCCCGCTCCGGTGCCCGCCCTCCCGCAGTGCCGGAGCCGCGCTCGGTTGTGGGGTCGGTTTTATTTGATCAGCGCCCGCACAGCTTGGCCCCGCCGCTCCGCTCCCGCCCGCCGCCCGCCTCCGCACGCCCCTGCCCCGCTACCACCGGGGCCGGCCCTCGACACTGCCGCCCAAGCCGCCTGCGAGCGCGCCCCCTGCCGGCGGTGCCGCACAAGAGCATGCGTGCGGGCGGCGGGCCGGGGAGCGGGGAGCGGAGCGGGGCTCGGCGCTCAGTTGGAGGAGAGCAGGGAGCTGTGGGAGGACAGGTCCGTGCTGCTGGCGCTCAGGCCCCTGCTCTCTGCGCGGAGCCCCGGGGTGCCCTGCAAAACACAGCGCCTGTGAGCACCGGCACCCGCAACCCGCGCCCCAAAGCTGACAGCCCCGCCGCCCGCACCGCAGGGCTCCCACCAGCCACACTAAGGGACACCTCTGCCCTTCCCGCTCCGAGCCGGTCGAGCTCGGTAGGTAGGAAGGTGTCAACACCTCCGGTGTGGAGCCACGGCAGCTGGCCGGGGGCTGCAGGGTGGGCTCAGCCCCGCCATGGGAAGGCAGAGAGGCTCCAGCTCCACGCACTGCTGCAGGGATTAACGCCTTCTGAGAGGCCCCCGGCACCAGACGCGCGGCCACCCCCAGCCTCTGTCACTGGCCGCGGCTCCAGCCCCCACCAGCCCCGCCACGCACAGGGTGCTTACCTCAAATGAAGCATCGCTAGACTTGTGCAGGTAATTTAGTGATGCAGCTCGCTTCATGCTACAAGAAAGCAGAGGAGAGCAGGTGTGCTCTTGCTGTGCCTGTCCAGACCCTGACCCCGTTTCAGGGCAGCCCCCCCCCCTCCATCTGCCCTGCACCCAGTGCTGCCCTCATAGCCCTGGTCCTTACCTGGTGTTCCTGGGCTCCAGGGGACCATTGCCCTGCAGTTTCTTAACCAACATCTCACTGCTCCTCCGGATCACATCCCGGATTTTCCCCAGAGAGCTGCTGCGCTGGAGGGTGCCACTGCCATCCTGGACACAGAGACACAAGCCGGGGTGATGGCTGAGTGGCACTGTTAGGGCTCCGGCATGCTGCAGCTGAGTGGCTGGGAACTGGGCTTGGCTCCAAACACCCTCTTGCACCGAGGATTTAACCTGGCCCAGAGCACGCTGACTGCTTTCTACATGGCCCCCCCTCACTCTGGTTCTCCATAGGACATGATGACCATTAAGCCAAGGACATCCCCACCCCACAGCCTGGCTCATCCAGACTGACCCTCCCTCCTGCCTGGTGCAAGCTCAACACACAACCAAGCTGCCGACCTGCACCAGGCACCAGCACAAATGGGACTGGCACCTCCAGAGCCTGGTTCAAACATGGCACAGCTTTACCACATGCCAGGCCTGCAGGCTCACTCATGTCAGACAAGACCCACATGCACACACAGCCTTGTCCCACTTCTAACACCCCCCAAGATGATTCACTCTGAGCCTGCTGAGCAATTCAGGCAGCACCATCTGGGATGCATTCATGTGGCTGCACCGACACTGCATTGCCAAGCAGGTACCACTCTCCTCAACACCCCAACTTCAGCTGTGCCTGGCCCCACTGGCTGCCCCAGGGTGGCACTTCGCAGGGTTCTTTATGGCTCCCTGCTTTTTCCAAAGACCAAAACCTAAATCTTGCTCCCCAGCCTGTTTCCTCCCCCACAACCCCATAAATCTCCACTACTCAGAAAGGCTCTCTCAGCCCCTGGCAGACTCTAGCCCATCTCCCACATTTAGCTCCACGTGCATGCACAGCGCAGGCTGTCAGGATACCACCACCTCATGCCACTGTGCCCACGACACCAAGCTCTTCCCCTGTGGCCAGGCATGCTCCTTACACAAGGCTGTAGCACTACTGCTGATGTGGTTACTTTTGTTCTGATGGCCCAGTAACAGCAACGCTCCCTGCCCCTGATCCCAATGGCTCCTGGCACATCAGGGCAGAAAAAGCAGAGATAACGTGACCACAAAAGCTCTTTGCTCCTTACAAGCGGGAGTGGGAGCCCCTTTGTACTGCTCTAAATGACCAAAATGCCCTGTGGCCCAGGCTGGCATCAGCAGTTGCATCAGGACTGCCCATGCAGGGCTGCAGGGGGAAGCATATTGTCTGCCTTAGGCCAGTCACTCCTTTATCCTGAACCCCTGCAGGTTGGGGCCCTGGGGTAGGCTTTCCCAACACTGCCCCACTCCAATTACCCAAAGCCAATCCAGCCCTAGACCCCACTTCAGCAGCTGAACAGGACTTTTCCTACCAACAACCCTTTCTCCCAGTATTCATCTCATCCCTCCTTGGATAAGCCAAGTGCATTGAATCTCTTCACTTTCTCGTTAGGATGAGGGGTTTCCAAACCGGGAGCCATGTGCTGTTGCTGCAAGGGACCCCATCACCAGGAATGCAGAGAGCACCAAAGTATTAGCAAGGAAAATAACTCAGCTCCTGCCCCAGGCATCATGGTACATGGCACCAGCAGAGACAGGGGTGGGGTGTCTTCTGCTTCCCCATCACACTTACACCAAGTCACCAGGGTACTGCCATACCAGGCACTGTTCTTGCCAGGGCATGCAAGCCAGGGATGGAGAAGGGCACACAGCAGGGGCAGGGGAGTAGGACCATGGTACAAGGGCAGCAGGATCCAGCTAGAAAGTATTGCTCTGGGGTCAGGGCATTTCCCCAGCTGCAGCAATGCAGACTAACTGCAGATCAACACCAGAACAAACGCTGGTGCATGCTGGGTTAAAAATAGCCTCCCTCCTCTCCCTACTCCCTTTGCTGCAGGGTTATTTTTAAGCCAGAACATGTATGGGGCTTGGTTTACTGCAGAGCCTCTAACCCCACTGCACCCACCAGGATGAGAGCACTCAAAGAAGCAACTCCACTACTGAGCCACTCTCCACTGCATGCTCCCGCCCCGACTGCTGCACAGAGGGCAGAGGATTCGAGCGGGGTTTGGCAGCATGTGGAGATCAGTACTGGGGGCTTGCTCTCTCTAACAGAAACACTGCTTGGGGAAGGCCTAAAAGCTCAGATGCTCCAGGGCAGCCCTGCCACACACTGCTACAGAGCTGAGGTCAGTAGCAACCCCAGGTCGGAGGTTAGGGAGAGGCACAGTGGGGTTGGGTCCCTCATCCCTTGCAGAGGTGCCTGGCGGGCAGCACAGCCCCTACAGACACACAAGGCACCAAGCAACCCCACACCGGCTCCAGCAGCGCTTGCACCCACCACCCCAGGGCTGACCGGCGCTGGCCTACACAGCATGGAAAGAAGCACAGGGCAGCGGTTCGGGTCTGTCTGCCTTTAATCAGAGGTACGGTTGTTACAGCACCGGGTCCAGCACAGGGCAAAGCACACACAGGCCTGAACACACCCTGTGCTGGGGACTCACCGCTCCCCAGAGCGTGGAGCGGCGCTGGGAGAGAGGCAGAGGAGGCACAGCCCAGAGCACTCAGCCCTGGGCTCTGCACTCCATGGTCGCAGGGACAAAGCTCCTGTCAGCAAGCACAAGCTCCCAGGGCAGCAGGATGCACATGCCCCAAGGTCTCTGCACCCTCACAGGAAAGCCAGGCCCAGGCAGACATAAGCACGTTTAGTATCACAACCTGCCAGATGATAGCATGAGGCAAATTAGCTAGCTAAATAAATAAATGGGCTCCTGCGCTGGCCTCTGGGCTCTATCCTGCTGGCTGCAGCCTCCCCAGCTTCCTTCACAGGTAGGAGGGCCAGGGTTCACATCCCATAGGAGGTGGGATGAGGCTCAAGGCCCTGGAAAACTTCCCCCTTCCCAGTAGGGACTGACAGCATCAGACCCTGTGCAGGTCTGGAGTCCCATCAGAGGCACTGAGCCACCTCCACGCACGACAAGGGTCAGCATTGCCTTCCTAGCAGTGACAGGGTTACGGGTTTCCCTCCTGCTTGGCTAGGGACAGCCAGGCAGGAACTCACAGCCCAGGACCAGCCTCCTCAGCCAGGTCCTGTGTTCAGGAATTTCCCCCCTTCTGTGATTAACCTGCTCCTTCAGCTCCTGTGGAAACCTCCCTCAAACCATCCCATCTGCCTCCACATCCTCAGAGCACTCCAAGCCCCAACTCTTCCTTTCCTCACATCCTTCTTTGCACATTTTCTCCCAACCACCGCTCCAAACCAGCC